TTTGATTGAATCTGGGCCGTCCGTGCGATTGAATCTGGGCTGTCCGATCGCGCGATTGATCTGGGCCGTCGGATCGAACCCACGCGGATCGCCAACGTGGCTCCTTTCGGAGTGACGCGGTCTTGCCACGTGGCAGGCCCCGGTTGGCCGGGACTGCTGACGTGGCTGCTGACGTGACCCCCTTTTTTTTTTTTTTTTTTTTTCCTCCTTTCCGGGGGCTACAAATTATTTTTCTTAAAATAGCAAAAACAAATTTTGTTATAAAGAATAAAAATTGATGCATGAGGGTATTGGGATAATCAAATTTATTCCTAAAACTCACTCAACGTATATAATACCGAAACTAAAATCGCTAGAATAACTCTTCCATTTAATTAAATTTACAATCCTAAAAGAAAAACAAAAATAAAGACTAAGAAAAATAAATAAAGAAAGGAAAAACATCACAGACTTACCGATAAGTTGATCCCCGCTCCTTGACTCAACAAGACTTCTAAAGACTCGTGCTTCTCGAAAAACTTGAATAAACTAATTTTAGCAAAAATACGAAAAGAAGAAAAGCCAAAATTCTCAATAATTCTCTCAAATTTATTCTTAAAGGTTGTGTTTATATTCTTAGGGCAAAGAATTCCCTCAACGTATGCAATACCGAAACTAGAACCGCTAGAATAACCCCTCCATTTAATTGAATTTACAATCCTAAAAAAAAAAAACAAAAACAAAGACTAAGAAAAATAAATAAGGAAAAGAAAAACGTCACGGACTTACTGATAAGTTGATCCCCACTCATTGGCTCAATAAGACTTCTAAAAACTCCTACTTCTCGAAGAACTTAAATAAACTAATTTTAGCAAAAATGCTAAAAGAAAAAAAGTCAAAATTCTCAAAAATTCTCTCGAATTTATTCTTAAAGGTCGTGTTTACATCCTAAGGACAAAAACTTATTTATAGTTTTTCTTGAGCAAACTAGATAATTGCAAAATCTTGAGATAATTAATAAAATAATACTCTACATAAAATTCTATTTTAATCTAGAATAAATACATAATAAAATAATTATTCTATCTCAAATAAATTAATTAAATAATCTTAAAAGATAGACTTACATTAAAATAATAATTAATTTAAATCTATATTTATCCCATATGAAATGCAACATTCCAAGAAAAATACCACAAGTCATGAAGTGATGAAGTCATTTATCTATTAACAAGATTTTATAATTTCATTTCCATCTAGTGATGTGAATACAAATTATATAATAGTTTCTCGAAAGCAATCTGTAAAGACTTTTCCCAATATCGTCGTTATAACAACAGTGTTAAGTGCTAAATGTGGATTAATTCAGTGTGTGGGTATGGTGTCATACTCCCGAGTCTTGTTCCCTGGACATGCCTTCCCTCCCTTAAGTGGTAGAATCTACTAGTGGTATCTCCTGTTCGTGTTTAGGTTTCACTATGTATGAAAATAACACAATAATGAACCTACAATGCCCAGTAAGGTCAAATTTAGATTCTCAAACAGGGTATTGAATGCAGTACAATTCCTAAATCAGAATTCCCTCAACCTCTTTTCATTGCTGTGCTGGTGTTCTCTATCTCATCATACCCGACTCTAGTAGCAGATTTCCCCTTAAGCCCCTATTGTTTCATATATTGCTTCAAATCAGTAACCATACTGCCATTAATATTTCCCTTTCCTATCCCTCTACATCTCCCAAAATTATATGCAGTTAGGCATCATTTTAATTTCCTACTACCCTATAATTATCCCTCTGACTTCCTCTTTACCTCCAGCCTCCTACCAGGCCACTTCCCTTTATACACAGTCTTCCAGCATTCTCCAGTGAAACGACCCCCATACCAGTCACATTCTGTCTCCCAAATGTGCCATGCTAATTCATATATAAAGAGAAGAAAAACAGAGAACACCAGGATCTCAATCCCTCGACCCACTCACATAATGGGTCAACTTTGTTACTGGCTTCCCTTCCCGAGAGTGCAGAGGATGCATACACACAGACACCACATATGCAGCGAGCATTACTCAGAGTTCTTCGGGGCTTCAACCCTTCGACCCTATATAGAAAGGCCCACAATTATTCTCAACTTCGCTCTTCACAAGAGCATACCAACAAATATGAACCAATTAAAATATCAATTTGCAGAAAATCATGCAATGATCCCAGAGGGACCTTTTTAGTTTAAATGCTCAATATACCCCTATAATTTCACATGTCAATCACACTAGTATTTTAAGAATACTAAACTCTCGGGGCTTCTACCCCACGACCCATTCTGACTGGGCCACTGTTTCCCAAATTCGCTCCCGTCGGAGCACCAAACAAATAAAAAATATGCCAACAATACGCACCATAAACATACCAGTCTAACAACACATAATATACCAACAGTAAGATCCGGGGCATCGACCCCCCGATCTTATGCAAAAGGGCCAAAGTCGTTCACAGAATCGCTCTTCCCAAGGGCCGACCAATATTCACATCAATCATGCAGTATAAATTTTCAGAAATTCCACAACAATCCTGAAAGACCCCATTTCAATTATAAATATTCAATATCTCGTGAAATATCCAAAGTCAACCGTACACAATAAAATCAAGCATGCCAAACTCTCGGTCTTTCTACCCCTCGACCCAATTATTGGGCCTATTATAATGTCATTTACTTTTCCCATGAAACAACCACAATGCATATAAAAAAATATATAGATGAAATTAACCCAAATCCCATTCATTTCCAATATGTATCGGATGTTAGTTTCCCCTCCAGATGTGCAGAGTTCCTATTAATCCTGCATTCTATCATAATTTTCCTCTCAACAGATACCCAAATGAGTTAGTCTCCAAAACTATAATCTCAACTTATTGCTAAACTTAATATGCAAATTCTAACCTTAAGGGGAAAACGAAACTGTAACCTACGTTGCGTAGCAGCAGCAACTATGTGTCAAGCCCTTCCCCCACTCTTATTTTAACTTCTAGTTGATGCTCATTTTCATCACTAATAATATAAAATTAATACAAAAGAGAATGAGCAGATGCCATGCAGTCTTGGCCATGATTTGACTGTATTATGGTTTAAAACCATAATAAGTGACCCCCTCCGGTAGAGATATCTTTTATGGTTTGACATCCCTATCCATTCCCATTTCTACCCGCTAGCCTCACCCAATTTTCAGTTTCTTTTTCCTTATGTTCATATTGCTGCAGGTCACACTTTCCTTCTTGGTATCCCCCGAATTCCCCGTCTCTCCTTGGATTACAGTGTTGCTTGGTCCTATTTTTTCTTTTGGCTACCGCCTTCTGTCTCTCTGGCTCTCTCCCTGCACCTAGTTATTCCCTTTCTCCTCTACTCTTCTCCCCTTCCTCTCGCTCTCTTTCATATCCGAAACCAGGAATTTCAGATACTAATTCAAATTCAATATTTGAAATCTAAATTTGTCTTACCTCAATAAAAATCCGTTTTGTTGCTATCTTCTTCTGTTTCTCCTCCCTTCCTCAACTTGTTCCTCTCCTATTTCACACCCTCTTTCTTTTCCTCCCCTTTCTTCCTATCACTACCTCCCTTTTAAACTAAATAAATTTAATCACAACCGTTGGGTTCTCTCCCTATTCCTAGCCGTTCATCACAACTAGAACCCCATCAATACCCTCTAAATCGCTTGATGAGCGCCGGGTGTCTCTTCCGGAACGTTCCTCACACTGGTAACGTTGTTTGCACACCTGGCAGTGGTTAGTTTGCTCTGTTATTTTCTGTTTACTGATTCCATCATTTTTCAAAATTTCTCTCTTTTTCTTCTATTGTTCTTTCACGATTAGGTCTTTATTTATTTATGATTTTAGTGGATGCAGAGTGTATGTGATGTACTCCTCCATTCCTATGGGGTTTATTCATGACTCATATGTACACGCTCATAGATATTTTTTTATTCTAGTAATATTTGGTATACCGACTGTTACAATACCCTCAAAAGAAAATTTGTTCTCCAAATTTCATTACATATCAAATAACTGAGGGTAATTTGTTCTTATAAGAGATATTATTTAACATTATGTCCTTGTCATCAGGACACTCCCTTGTTTTCTCTCTTGATTTTTCTTGTAATGGAGCACCTTTAGCTATCGGCTGAGCAACCTTTATGCTCAATAGGCCATTGACTTTTTCTGCGGCCTTCCTTCTCTCTTATACTCTTCTTGAGTATTCATCAAAGGACCATTTAATTTTGACTTGATCTTCATGTGCCTCTTTTGGTGATAAAGGTGTAAGGACAAGATTCAGATTGTGCTTTCGCAATGAATGTCGATTGGTGTGGTCGTAATGTTGTACCTGTCTATCAAACTTCTAAGGTCTCCTAAGTATCAGGTGATTGGCATGCATAGGTACGATATCACAATACACCTCATCGTGATATTTTTTGATAGAAAATGGTACTATGACTTGTTCGATAACTTGGACTTCACCACACTCATTCAACCACCGTAACTAGCAGGGATTTGGATGTTTGATGCATGTTAACTCTGTTCTTTCCAGAATAGAGTGCTTGCCAAATTAGCACAGTTACCACCATCAATGATCATTCCATAAACTTTACTGTTGATAAGGTATCACATGTGGAATATGTTCTCCCTCTGCTTGTTGCCTTCACTCCTAACTTACACGTTGAGAGCTCTTCGGACAACAAAGACATTACTCCCAAGTGGAGCATCTTCGATGGATTGAGATATAGTGTAGTACCTATAAGAAAGGTTAGTGAAAATAATATATTCTCTCCCTCACATTCCCTCGTGTTTACCTTACAATCCCTCAATTGACAACTTCATATGTCGAGTTGAGTGTTTAGAATTAGAATCGCTTGAATTGGATCTGCACGTTAAGTCTTTATGACACAATAAGGAGCTCTAAAGGATT